TAGATGGGTGTAAAATATGGTTCTCAAGAGTACTGGTTCGTGGGGAACGGGTTAACGCGTACATGTGAGTCCTAGCAAGCTCATAAAAGCACTAAATACAAACTGTACCCCCATTGTCGCTCACGTTTGAGCAGAGAAAGTGACACGCTAGTGCAACTGCGGACCCATTCACCTCCGATGAGAAGGACCGTCCGCTAGATGGGGGTACAGTTTGTATTTAGTGCTTTTATGAGCTTGCTAGGACTCACATGTACGCGTTAACCCGTTCCCCACGAACCAGTACTCTTGAGAACCATATTTTACACCCACTTGTTCTTTGTCAAACTCCTCTTTGATTTGCCCGGTCCAATTACTACTTTTCTTGAGAAGCACTTTATGACATACTCCTTAGCGCCCGCGGTGACCATATACCTCGAACAGCTAGTTCAGCAGTGTCGAGTCCATAAAAATGATAACCAGCGCCTTTGTCTACCACGTCGAGGATTACAGGTGAACGATTAAAGAGAAAGAAGTTTCAAGTAGTTTCGATTGTACTATGATGTGGCCTGTAAACCGCACATAAACGGTCAATTACGGTTGCAAGCCGATTCTACTTACATTTCAAAACTACTCCATCAGAAGGTCACACGCTGAGAAATAACCCTCCACATCATGAGAAGAGGCCTTGAGTGAATGGAGTTATTTTCGTCCATATCTTCACAACTTGATTTCAAATTACCACAAGAATGCTGAATTATAGGCAAAAGTCACACCCAGGCGAGACTCGAACACTTATTTCCACTGATCAGGCGAGTGCGCTATTCGTTAGACCATCGAGCCTGCTCTAACCAGTGGCTATCATGCCACAGATCTAATTCAAACCCGAAGACCCGAATGTGGAAAAAATTAGGCCGGGATGCTCTCACATGGAATAACAATAAAATGGAAAAAGAAAATGTAGCCAAAACAAAAACAGGATGAAAATGAACAAACAAGAAGCACCTGTCTCTATCAGCAGCGTCCAAGACGAAGATAAGAGCTTGAGTGCCAGTATAGTAATGCCTCCATAACGGCCTGATCTTATCCTGTCCACCAACATCCTAGAAGAGTGCTCAGTGCGAACATGTTGACTGTGGGAAATGTTGCAATTGCAATAAAAAGACAAACTGAGAAGGGCAGTGCCCTGAGAAGTTCATGGTTTCACAGTAACGAATGGAAAGCACACTTACCCATACGTTGAACTTTACATTTTTATACGTTACTGTTTCGACATTAAAACCAACAGTAGGTATAGTGGTTACGGATTGCCCAAGCTTTAATTTGTACAGAATGGCTAAAATATAAATGAACAAGAAATCACCAGACATCCATTGTGAAATGACTTTCCAAACACCCACTTGTTTTTCCAGCTGCATCCAACCCTAACATCAATATCCTCATTTCCTTTTTGCCAAAAATTTTTGACAACAGTTTCCCCATTGCTGATGGAACTGAAAAATAAACTGACAGAAGACTGTTCATTAAAAGTTCATAAGCCGACGCGGTAAATGACAGTAAAACTCCGACAATATATGCTGCAATTGAAATTCACAACCTCAACACACATCTGAGAAATTCGTGACGGCACAACTGAACTTCGTAAAGCTCATAACAACCAAACTTTCTTCAAAATATTAGAGAAACATTCTCGTGCTGTAGCATCAAAACAAACCATTCCCTCATACTCTCGCCAACCAGTAGAAAAAACGCGGATGGTAACTTACCATTAAGCATATCGCGGGTAATTTTCTACATTTCGCGTTTCTAGTCGCTGGAAACGTTGGCGTACGCTCAAGACGGTACGTCGATAGCTATACTTTCCTTGTCACTCGAAACGCCGCCGTACGATCAAAATGCTGATGCAAAGTATGGACGCACTGATACTCACATGGAAAACTCGCTTGATAAGATACGCCACTAGAGTCGATCACATAAGCTGCTGAAAATGTGTCGCACTTAGGACGAACTACATTTCAGAGCCGTTCCAAAATAAAACACCCCCCATAACTTAGTTTGAAACAGTCGAATAAATAACGAGAACCCCTGCTCTTTCCGTGTTACAGTTTGAACCTAACCATCATCACCCCTTCATAATATTGCCACCATAAATTCTTTTAGCCTCTGAACTCTTATTGCACCACACCACAAATTTATCCCAAAAAATTATTGATGGTGCTGTCCCGGAGTCTCATTACTCATCTGAATGTGTAATAACAATGTGAAACTCCAAAAATTTATTCCAAAAAACTCAAAAGACAGCAAAAGTCTCAAAAGTTTTTCAAAATATCTTATCTTGCGATATTTCGGTGCGTAGCACCTTCGTCAGGCCCAAATATCCGGGATATTTTGCCGGGATATTTAGGCCTGACGAGGCCTACGCACCGAAATATCGCAAGATAAGATATTTTAAAAAACTCTGGAGACTTTTGCCTTCTTTTGAGTTTTTTGGAATAAATTTTGGAGTTTCACATTGTTACTACATTCAAAAAAAAAAATAAATAACGAATAGATAAGGTAGATACGATTAGAAAAGAGAATAAAGACAAAGAATAGCATAAAGAATTTTTAGTGGGATAAAGAGAACAATCTTTCATCACACACAAAAAAAATTAAGCACCATTCACATTTCATATTCAGTTCCACAAATGAGCAAATTATTTTAAAACGACGATTTTCACGAAATTTTCACAAAGTATTCCTACTTATCCTTAGTAACGAGGCCATTATGAGTATAGACCAACTTGTCCAGTCTACAGGCATGTGCGAAACGGAAACTAAATTGCTTCGCAGGTTCCTTCCTTCGGGGAAAAGAAATTCATATTGTAATCATTTTCTTATTGTTTCTACGTATTAATGGATAATAAAACTTTCAGACAAAATTCGAAATTGTTTACACTATGAGGTTCTTGATTAAATGAAATAAAAAACGAATCAGAAATAGAACCAAATAAATAAATAAACGTGGAAAACGTTACAAGCTCATGTTAACAATCGCGAACGATGTTTGAGCTTTGTAAGCACCGTCGAAAATAATCAATCGAAATATATTCCCCTCCGATAACCGCACCCAGATAGCCCACTTCCAAAAACTCGCGATCAGGAAACGAGACCTACCACGCGCATGATGCAAGCGAACGCCAAGAAGCAACTGAGAATAAAACCAAGTCCGGCTGCCAAACTTGATAACAGTACGTCACCTTGTTTATATTGCTGTGCCTCTTGAGGTGGGCATAAATACTAATGACAAGCTAGTAAGTAACTCAGTGGTAAAGTAGAAGAAGGAAAACTTCTCAAGGCTCTCGGATCCCCTGCCGATACAACGAAGAGAGGGCGTAGCTATAGTGTAGTTCGCTGCGGACGGTTGGGCGTGTCAGGCGGGATGAGTTTGGCGCGGTGCCAAACCCGTTCTCCACCAGTTGTTAAAGCGAGCAAGTGATATGACTGTATCATATCGTTCGTATTACTCGTTTTCTACCACTTTTTGTCGCATGCGCGCTTCAACAAGAAGGCAGAGAACGGTGTGAACACTCATACTGCCTGACACGCCCAACCGTCCGCAGCGAACTAGAGTGTAAATGAGTTCCCATATGCGCGTATTGGCTTTTTTATGACCTCCCTCCCACTCGGAGTGGAAAGAGCGCAATAACCGTACCACCATTATTCGTTAGAAATGTGCGTTGAAGTGGTGAGGCAATGGGAGGAGCATTGCGTCCATCGCGATCGCGTAAGGTCGTTATCACGCATTCTTTAGCCACGAAAGTGGTACATCCTCGGTTCTTACAGGTCGGACCACTGCACAAAATCAAATGAACACGAAACGTGCCTCCAAGAGTGCGCCATACTTTGCGTCAGCGTTTTGAGCGACCACAAACGTTTCCAACGACTAAGTGAGTATAGGTATCGATTGCAGCTGTAAACGCTGGTGAACGGTTGAAACGCTAGATCAAATTTATGTTCCTCCTCGCTGAAAACGCAGGGTGGACGCTGAAAATGCTCGATCGATACCCATACTTCCCTGGAGACCAAAACGCTGAATACGCTGCCGCAAAGTATGAACGCATGCAATGCCTACCACATGCTTCACCGCTAGAGCAAGACAGCGTGCGCAACGCAGCCGGTGACATACAATTTTTGGGTTGGTTTCCTTGTTTATTTTCAGTTTCACGCAAACATGGTTATTCTGATAGGAAGAACCACACATCTACGAGGAAAATCTCCCGTAAAATGCTCTTCATCATATAGAAATAGTAACAGAAAGTAATTTATGAACAAAAGTCAATCAAAGAATTTCCGCACCGAGAAGGTCAACAAAATTTCCAACGTGTTTCGTTTCGAGCAAGATGCTACGCGTTAATTTATTGGAAATTGACTCAAGAAAAACTTCTTCAGAAATCTTCCTTACTTTGTCACGCTCATTCCTCGTAATTCTGTTTGTACAGAATTCTATATTAAGCTTAATAAGGTGATTTGATTTGTTTGCACATTCGATCCCAACTTTGAAATCAGGACAGACCTTCACTAACTTGCAAACAGTGTGTACGACTAACTGAGTCTATAAATATTCCTCAAATCTGACTTATCACCGTAACAAAACTTCAGTGCTTTCAAACGATCACTTAGCAAGTTAGTTTAACCTTTTCTCTCCCACAGCTTGAACTAGCCTGTTGTTCTTTTCAGTTGGGTTGTTTTGTGTGTCTGTTTGTTTTTTTTCTTTCAAATTACATGCAATAATGCATGTCCACAAATAAATAAATAGATAAATGATGAATAAATAACTGCTTAGCCAACAGATGCACTACGCGAGGCCGGGTTCATACCTTGCGACAGTGAAGAATTGACGATCTGAAGCAATGAAGAGTTGCCGAATTGTAGAAATCAAGAATTGGAGCAATGTAAAATTGACGAGTAGGATTAGATACTAACCTCATGTTCGGTGTGGAGTAGAGGACTGTAAGGCGAGAACAATTCGTGGAAAACGACTTATACGAACGATATGATACAGTTTTGAAGCTTTTTATTATGATAACTGCTGTTTTACGCCGCAGTTCGCGTTCCGAATGTTATCACAAGAATGCTGAGTTGTGGGCAAAAGTCGAACCCGCACCTCACGCTTTCCGGGCTGACCGGCTCACCAAGTTAAACGTGTGAGTGCTGTAAGGCTACGGCATAAAAGCCGTTAAGCTGAGAGGGTAAAAGCGGCCCTGGTGGCGTAACGGATAGCGCACTCGCCGGAAAGCGTGAGGTGCGGGTTCGACTTTTGCCCATAACTGAGCATTCTTGTGATGTGATACAGTATTGTCACTTCCTCACTTCAAACTAAGTGGAAACCAATTTGGCGCCGCGCCATCTCGGCTTACCGGGCACATTGCATGTCTTCGTTCCTGCATTTTTAAACCGACAAGTATCTATTTCTTTTCGTCAATTGCTCAATGCTACATTTCTTCAATTTCTCACTGTCGCAAGGTATGAACACCGCCTGAACACATTGGAAAACGAACTAAAAATCTCATTTTTCGCAAACGCATTCCAGTAAGATGGTCAAGAAAGCGCTTCAGAATAGAGATGGTAATCTACGCATGAATAACGAGATCACATCTAAGACACTACTTCGAAACCCGTTCAATAACATAAAAGAAGTGGGGACAATAAGGAAAAGTTTGGACGAATTGCGAAAATCAGAAGGAAAAAATGTTTTCTAGGGGAATTTCAAGCTAAATTCATGCAAATTGTGATACAGTTTTAGTAAGAATACTCACCTTCAACGATTGAAGCCGAAAGTCGAAAAATCTCAGCTTTTTCAAGCTGAATATGGCAGGAATTCGGAGAAAATGCGGCAGGAATCAGCTGATGAACAGCGTCAGCCATTATCGATCGGCGAGAGTGCAGGACGGAAGAGTGAGTAGAGGGCGCGGCGGGGTGTTAGAGCGCAGAGTCAGTGTCAGAGACGGAGAGGCAATGATGATAATTTCCTACAATTTCTCGGCTTTCCATCGACACGCAATCAGCGGAACGCTCGCCGGCGTGGTCGTAGGGAACGCCCCACCGTCCGGTGAGCGCTCCACTGTAGTTATCATACGGGCTGGAGCCGTTCGAAGCCACAATGACCATAGAGTGCCACACGGACGAGATAGAGAATAGAAAAACAGGGAGGCTTTGACAGATATCCCGGACAAAACCCGCATGACTTTTGAAATCTTGGAACGACTTTGTGTCAAAAAGCGAATTCGGACAGACCGCACGCACATATTGCCACCAAAATTCCAAGCCCAAATAAAAGAGGGCTATTTTCCGGAACTACCCACAATCGAATTGACTAGATTGTCAACGTGTGTGGGAAATGCGTCGCCCTCGAACAATGCGCCCCATCTCATCCTACGGGATGACCATCGCTGTCTGCGCTCTCGCCTGTGTGTTATAGAGCGAGGGGCACCCAAGGCGGC